TATTATAAATAAATATTTTAAATATTATAATTAATTATTAAAAATTAAAAATTAATAATTTTAACCAAACTTACGGCAACAATCATCTTTGCGGAGTATTCCTTTCCCCCTTCTTATTAATCTCAACAATAAAATTTATTTTATTTATTTATTTCACCTTTTTTGTGGGTAAATATTTATTCCCCTCTCTAAAGTCCAGACACAGACCCCATTTTGTCTCTCTCTGCAGGCCACCGTCGGCTTCCTCCCAAGCTCAGTCCTTCCTTGTGGACCCCACCTTAGACATGGCAGCTGACGTGTCACCTCTTCCCTCCGCTATATAAAACCCAACAGGCTGCTCAACCACGCCACACTTCTCCCCTCGCAAACAAATTCTCCTATAATTTATCTCCCAAAATTTTGGTTTCCTCTTCCTTTTCGCAAAATTTCTGAATTCTCTCTCAAAAAATATGGCGGTTGACTCTGCACTTTCGTCTCCGCTTGGCCCACCGGCCTGCGAGAAAGATGCCAAGGCGTTGCAGTTGATAGAGGAGATGACTAAGAACGCCGATTTGCGTCAGGAAAAAGTTCTGGCCGAAATCTTGACTCGAAATGCTCACACCGAGTACCTCAAGAGGTACAAGCTCAATGGCGCCACCGACCGCGCCACCTTCAAATCGAAACTTCCGATTATAACCTACGAAGATCTCCAGCCGGAAATCCAACGCATCGCTAATGGCGACCGCTCCGCCATTTTATCCGCCCATCCAATCTCTGAATTCCTCACAAGGTCCGTTAAAATTGACTCCATAATCCTCTAAAATAAAAGTTAATTAGTTATGAAATTCTTTGCTGATTTAAAAAAAAAAAAAATTGCAGCTCCGGAACTTCAGCCGGTGAAAGGAAATTGATGCCTACAATTCAAGAAGAGCTGGATCGTCGCCAGCTATTGTACAGTTTCCTGATGCCAGTAATGAATCTGTAAGTATATATCTTAAAAAAAAATTATAAATTTTCAAATTACAGAAACTCTTGAATGTTGGAATTTTTTAATTCTTTTTGCTAAATTTAAGCATTAATGAAACGCGTTTTTACTTTTTTATTTTTTTTCTATGTAACAGTTACGTTCCTGGCTTGGACAAAGGAAAGGGGCTATACTTTCTGTTTGTGAAATCAGAAACAAGGACTCCAGGTGGTCTCCTGGCGCGCCCTGTTCTCACAAGCTACTACAAAAGTGACCACTTCAAGACCCGCCCCTATGACCCTTACAATGTCTACACCAGCCCCAACGAGGCCATTCTTTGTGCGGATTCCTTCCAGAGCATGTACAGCCAGATGCTTTGCGGCCTCCTAGAGCGTGACCAAGTGCTCCGTGTTGGTGCTGTGTTCGCCTCTGGTCTCCTCCGCGCCATCAGGTTCCTCCAGCTGAATTGGAAGCAACTTGCTCAGGATATCGAAATGGGGTGCTTGAATTCGAAAGTTACTGATCCTTCGATCAGGGAATGTATGGGGAAGATATTGAAGTCTGACCCTGAGCTCGGGGAGTTCATCAGGGGAGAATGTTCAAAGGAGAATTGGGAGGGGATTATCACAAGAATTTGGCCTAACACCAAATATCTGGACGTAATTGTCACCGGAGCAATGGCGCAGTACATCCCCACCCTTGATTATTACAGCGGCGGGCTGCCTATGGCATGCACCATGTACGCTTCCTCCGAGTGTTACTTCGGGTTAAACCTCAACCCCATGTGTAAACCATCCGAAGTGTCCTACACCATCATGCCAAACATGGCCTACTTCGAGTTTCTCCCTCACGAGCCCAACTCGGCCGGGTTCGCAACTCTTGACTCTCCCCCAAAACTGGTTGACCTCGTCGATGTTGAGGTGGGGAAAGAATACGAACTCGTGATCACCACCTACGCAGGGCTGTGCAGATACCGCGTCGGCGACATCCTCCGAGTCACCGGATTCCACAACTCAGCTCCACAGTTCCATTTCGTTCGGAGGAAGAACGTTCTTCTCAGCATTGACTCGGACAAAACTGACGAGGCGGAGCTACAAAAGGCGATGGAAAACGCCTCCCAATTGCTCCGTGAGTACAACACTAGCGTCGTGGAGTACACGAGTTACGCCGACACAAAGACGATCCCCGGTCACTACGTCATATATTGGGAACTCTTAGTAAAAGACTCGGCCAATTCCCCTCCATCCGAAGTCCTGAACCAGTGCTGTTTGGCAATGGAGGAATCGCTCAACTCAGTGTACCGACAGGGCCGAGTTGCAGACAACTCGATCGGGCCATTGGAAATCCGCGTGGTGAAAAATGGCACGTTTGAAGAGTTAATGGATTACGCAATATCCAGAGGAGCATCAATCAATCAGTACAAGGTACCGAGGTGCGTAAACTTTACTCCGATCATGGAGTTGCTGGATTCTAGGGTGATATCGACGCATTTTAGCCCTGCCTTGCCGCACTGGACGCCGGAAAGAAGGAGGTGATCATCATGATAGATCAAACTAAAGATTTATATGAATTATTTAGGCCACCGACCAAATTAAGTCAATGATCATCATATGCTTAATTATAGTTATATAAATTAATTGTAGATTCTCCTGTTGTTGTTTTTTAATTGGGTAATGTAACTTTTGTGGAAAAGTAAAAAAAAAAGTTGTACGATGTTTAAAGATGTTTGTCTCTCCAGTAAATGGGTTTATTCATGTAATGAAATTATGGAGCAGATAAGGTTTGTTTTTTTATAAGATGAACCTCTTTGATCATTTCTTCCTTTATTGTTGTTTGTCTTTTGCTTCTTTTACATATTGTGTCTTTTCTTTTGAGTAAGGTGGGTAGGGACAGCCTCATCAATTCAATGAATGTAAATATGTAAGAGCATGATGTTAATATCTGTAATGGTCACTTTTGTATGAATTTTGTAAAAGTGTTGTTTGATTTTTGAGTTTTCTTTTTTGAACAATTTATAATTTTGGGATTAAAAAAAAAGAATTTTTTAAAGTATGGGTGGGATTTGAAACTCCGACCAACAAATCCAAACACCTTATAATTTGGAGACGAACCATTTGAGCTAGAAGGTAGGTTCATTTGATATTTGATATTTGAGTTTTGAAGAAGTGTTGAAGTAAAAATTCATAAATATAATTATAAAAAGGTTTTTAGAATCTGGCTAAAAGTTTACAATGACAATGGATGTAAACTGGACTAAAAACCTGAGAATGAGTGGAAGAGCTAGCCCTATACGATTAGGACTATTGTCTCCCTCAAGATTGGGTCAATCGACACAAAAAGACAAATCCTCAAACTAATGCCTCGAGCTGAAAGTTTTTGCCACCTACAATGGGTAATATACTCGGCTATATTTGGCGCGCATCCAAATGGTCCATTAGCCCAAACAAGTCGGTTTAACTAGAAATCTTGGACTCAAATGAACAAAACTTAAAACCTGAGGACTCATGCTAAATAAACAGCCACAAAATAAACATAAAAAGGACAAAAATTAAACTCTTAAGAAACTTCATGTACCTTTCAATTTGAAGAGAAATAGGCGTAAATAAAGATATAAACTTTGTTAATTTTTTCAATTAAGGATACTAACTTTTTTGTTTACTACTTAAGGCTCTAGGATAAATCTTAAGGCCTCACTGCACTGTTAATTAAGGAATATAGGTTAAACAAGTTTTCTTTAATCTTGACAAACATAAGTATAAAGGACTGTAAGGATTAAAGTACCCCTTGCACTCTCATTCAATAAAATTTTTTTTTGTTTGAGAATCACAAAAAAAAAAAAAAAAAACTAATTAAGGCTCTGAACTTATAAAAGCTTTTAATTAAAGATATGAACTTTATGAAATTTTTAAATAATCACTTATTGGATGTGAATGGTGACATGGCAGATGAACTAATATTTATAACTTTCACAAAATTCATATCATTTATTAGAAACTTTTGAAAATTCATCATAGCTTTAATTAGTAAACAAAAAGGTTAATATCCTTAATTAGAAAAAAAGGGCAAAGTTTGTACCCTCTTATTTGTGCCAAATCTCCCAATTGGAAAGCTTCTTCCTTGCTCCTGCACCAACTTGTCCCACAGCCAGCAGTCCCCATCTTTGTCCATGCATAGGATCCTGCTTCCCCAGCAACAACTGTTACATCAATCCTTCCTCTGCTCAGCACAAGAGAGACCCCATCAACCCTAACCCAATGACCAACAACTGCCACCAAGCCAACTCTTAATTGTCACCAAAATAAAGTGAAAGGTGAAGAGGGGAAGAAGGAGAAATGAGATTGAAAGGGGGACCAGGTCCTCTGTGAGGTACGCTGCTAGTTACAACTTTGTGAAAACCTTCCTTATGCATACCCTAGGGCAATGCATAGGGGACATGTTTGTTTAGTAATCTAGTTATAAATAAGGATATTTGAATTATAAAATATAACTTAACAAGTATCAATAATTAAATATCAATCAATTGTCAACCATAAGTTGTTGTCTAACACATAAACCAAATAGGATCTAAATTACTGATGTTCGATTTTAGAGATGCTGGAAGTAATTCTTCGCAAAATCTTTCAGCACCTAAAAGGTAAATTTAGCACAAGTACTAAAATAATACTAAAAAGAAAGAAGAGAAAGAAGATTGATTTCTCTTGCTAAACAAATTAATAGTATTAACTACTGATTTGCCAACATTGAACATTTCTATTTTTTTAAACAGTAAACTTTTTATTTAATAAATCAGTTAATAAGACTTTACTTGAAAATGTAAGTTCATATCTTTCTATTATTTTTTGGATGCAAAACTGCAAATAATTTTAATGAATATACCCATACTATTTCCGAAGGTGGAGTTTTGTCATAAAACGATTATCCACAAAATTATTCATATTAATAGCTTTAATTCTCCTGTTATAAAAAAGGAAAAAAGGACATTAATTCAATTAAAGAATTGGATTAAGACTTCAAACAAGAGTATGTGATCTTTGGACTTTAGTAGCACTATTTAATTAAGCTTCTATTGAAAGCTTATTTAATAATAAGTACGGAAACAAAGCAATCATGGCCTATTTGCTTTACTCCTAAGTTTTGGTGTTTAAATCCTTACCAAGCACTCGAAAGAAATTCCCTTTTCCCCAAATTCGCCATGTGAAATTCAATAACAATAATAATAATAATAATAATAATAATAGAACTTTTGTTTTGCTGTTTGAATTGGATTAGACTACAGAATAAGGGTCATTGCATTGGATGATGAAGAGTCCCTAATATAAAGAGCCCTACCCTCATTCAAATATTAATGTTATGTAGTTTGGACTACACAATACTTTTTCATAATAATAATAGATATTGATTTACATTTACATTTTTGGCCAAATGCTCAAATTTGCCCCTCAAAGAAGAGGGTAGAAATATATTCACTCCTTAAAAAAGAGGGGACAACTTACTTCCCCAAATTATCGATTAAGATAAATCATTTATTATTTAACACGTGACATCATTACATGTCAAAAATTTGTATGGCACCTAAACTTGTTTTTAATGGAAAGTTAATGTGTAATGACATCACACATGAAATAATGGGTGATTTGTCTTAATCAATGATTTAAAAAAATAATTTATCCCAACTTTTTTTATTTTAGAGCGAATTTGTCTTTGTCCTCTTATTTGGGATATATAGATCTGGGGGTTTGGCCTACATTTTTAATGAAGACATTTTTTAGGAGGGCATTATATATTAGACATGATGCCTGTGAATAGAAAACAAAGTAAGTGAAAATTATGAGACGACATAAGGAGGAAGGTTGTTAGATGAATTTCTTTGGCGAGTTGACAAGAAAAATCCTAAACCAGATGGCAATTTGGAAGTCATTAAAGGCCAAAAAAGTTGGTGATGTTCTTAGCTTCGTCCCATAATTATCACCCCTATCTTTATTAGCTTTCAAGGTGGTTCACATCATTCATCCAATAACTCTCAAATGCAGACATCCCCGACAATGCTTTCCTCATAATTCACTTTGTTGGAACTTTTCTATTGAATTATTTGTATTGTCCCCAAATTCCTTTCTATCAAACCATTATGTGGATCTGTGATATAAGTTCAGTGAATCAGAAAAAAGCACTCATCCACTTTCACTTTTTCTCTGCAACTTTTCCTTGAAAATGAATTCTTTTCCGGCTTATAAAATTTTGGTAAAAAAGAAAAATGTTAGCAATACATATATATTTGACACATCAAAAAGTTAATTGTTTTGGCGTAAAAGAGTTTGAATTTTTGACTTTAATTTTAAATTAAAAAATTTTAATTAATGAATATCAACTCAATGAAATTCTTATAAGTAATATTAGAGATATTTGAATGATCTTGAATGCAATGACTAAGCCATAAATTTAAGTTAGGAAGGCAAAATTTTAAAATTTTTTGTACGTCGTTTATTAGTTTATATAGTATAATTTATACCAATTTTCAAATTAATCATTAATTTTACACACATACTGCTTATATCATTCACTCCAAATTTTAAATTATTAGAGATATTTAACTATTTTTTAATAGAATATTTTTTAAGACCCTTAAAAAATAGTATAAAAATAGTGTATTTTTTTCATAAGATTACATATATCAAATCAATTTTAAACTTGAACTATATAATTTACATGCATAAAATAGATTCAATCTTTGGTTTAATAGAATATATAAATTGTAAAAAATTTTATATATAATCAATATAAAAACTTTTATAAATTAAATCAATATAATATATTTAACTAAATCTTGATTACTTTTTATATTTTTTCGTATGTAGATTAAACTATTATATTTTTATAAGAATTAGTTACAAAGAGAGAAATGATTCTTCTACTTAAATCTGAATTATTTTCTTTACATTTGAATGGTTCTTATAATTCAAACTTTAAAACCAAATTTTGAAAAAAAATAAAAGCATATGTACCATATTTCATATTTTCCAAAAGTTAAGGTGGGGGGTGCCCACCTTGTCCTATATACTCTGGCTACGTCTTTGCTTGGATGTATGTATCTAATGCGTGTACCTATTAGGTAGAGTAGATATGATGGGTGAAAAAAAAAATGAAAATGCTACATTTATAATATTACATGATATTATAAATTTATAATATAATATGTTATTAAATAATTAATTTTTTTTTTTATTTAGAGTTCACTCATAATATTATATGGATTCATTCGTTTAACATCTATCATATTTCTTTTAATGTCACGTTGAATTGATATTACATAGGATTATAAGTTTATAATTCAACGTGACATTATAATTATAGCATTACTAATAAAATAAAAGAGGTAGAGTAGATATATGGAACCAGATTTTTTTTTAGAAAAAAAAAAGAGATTTTATGAAATTCTCGAGCTAACAATTTAAGAGATCCAGTGCTAATTCGTTTTTTAGATGTGAAAAGAATCTTGGTTTGAGCTACATATTAACTGGATGGAGTTGATTAAGGTATGAAAAAATGTTGTCTCTTATGATACAATTCAAAAGTTTTTTTTTTTTAAATTAATGAAAATCCTAAGGCAAGATTTCAGAAAAGAGATTTTGGTGGAGAAAAGTGAAAATTTAAATATATTGACATTTTTAAATATCAGAATTTTTTGTAAAATTATTCAAATATTTTTAATAAATTATTCTTGTTTATTGATTGACAAAGGATATTTTAATTTTTTTTATTATAATTTGTAACATGTTAATTGTTAAAATATCTTGATTTTTTTAATCCCATTTTGATTAGGGAAATGGACTAACTTACCAATTATACCAACTCAATCCCTACATAATTCAAATCAAAATCTCTTGGAGCAAATTTTTCTCACCATTAATGTGGCTAGCCCTCACAAACATCATAATCTTCAAGACCGAATATGTCTAAGCAGTTTTAGTACTACAGGGGCATGACAGGGATCATGCATGGGGATAGCTTGGAGAGCTGTACACGAATCACAGATGGTGTGTTTTGCTCGGTATAGCATTGCTTCGGACCGAGTTTGTGAATAAACAAGTTGTTGTCTTCGAGTTATGGTAACACCCGGGACCATATATTCCTCATCTTGGATGCTAACCCCAAATGAACCGACTGAGTTTGATACTCTATGCAGGGTCATTAATTAATCTCTCTTTTCTCTCTTAGAGATTTCTTTATCGCTCATCTTTGCTCTGTTATATGTTGTTGGATTGGTGCTGTGTCCAATGCATATGATAGTACTAGTGGGATTCACATGTAAATGTCTTGTAACCTAGATAGACCAAGTATGCAATTACTCTTGTTAGGGTCATGATTAAGAAAGTGTTGTGTTTGTGTCTTTGAATTTTATAATTTCTTTAAAACTTGAGTAAAAATGTTGATATTAATTATGATGAACGTGTTGATACTTAAGTAATGAATCACGAGTCGGAAACTGTTGCATCAAAACTCAAAAGTACTAATACACCAAACAGAAGCATCGACGCAATTTGGCTATAAACAGATATATATGAAGTGCTTTATAAAGAAGGACGTGTCAACATTATAAACAATAGTGTTGACACCCTCATGTGCTAATGCAATAAAAGGCCCCTAATTAATTTTGACGGTAAGATTTGAATTTCTTTATGCAACCAAAGCAAACACTATTATACAATTTAAATTGTACTGAACTACATAATAAAAATTGTTAGATGAGGATTAAACTCTCTCACATGAGTGCATAATAAAAATTGTTAGATGAGGATTAAACTCTCTTACATGAGTAGGAGCAAAGAGTCTGAGGTAAAAAATAAAGTAAAGGGAAAAAATTTTTATTAACGATTTGAATTTTAAATTTCTTTCACGACATTAATTAATTTTCTTAAAAATCTAGACAAAATTAAGAAATAAATATATTTTCTTCTTCATATGTCTCTAATATTTTTATTAAATTAATCATTTTACTAAAATAAAAAACTATGTCTCACGATGATAATACTTAAATAATAGATTTATTAATTCAAATAATTTCAAATTTTGACTCTTTTTATCTACAAAATGTCTATTTCTTTCGCGAATTTGTTTATTAAAATCTATCCTTTTTCATCACAATGAATTAAATAATATAAAAGAAAGAACATGTAATTCAGTACTTAGAAATTTAAATCATTGATTAAGTAAAGATTTAAATATTTTTATTAGCTAAAGTTTTCATTAATCAAATTACTTCCTAAAATAAAAGACAAAAATTAAAAAATAAAATCCTAAAATAATGTGAAGTCTTAAGGGAAAAAGATCTTTGAATTTGAATTTAATTAAGACCTTGATTCCTAATTTATTCAATATGTAAAAAATTCATTTATTTATATTCTAATATTCTTATCCTTTTCAAAACATTTAAGTAAATTCTAATATAAATATATTGTAATAAAATATTATAAATTATATTAGTCTTGAGTGATTAAGTATGAAAATTTATAAAGATCATAAAGACTTAAATGAAAATAACTTAAAGTTTTATAGGATAAATATGATATTTAAAAATTTTAAAAGCAAAAAAAAAAATTATATATATATGAAAAAAGTGCATATCAATCTCGACTCCCAAAATTAATTAGAATCTCAACCTTAAATTACGTTGTTTTATTTAATTAAAACTTAATTTAAAATTTAAAAAATTATCTTATTAAATGTTGACATATTAAAATATATAATGGTTTTCAAATTTAGATATAAACATTTAATATAATAAGATTTCAGTTTCGAGATGTATATAAGAACTCCAATTATTTTTGAGAGTTAGGATTGATATGCATAAACTTACTTATATATATATATATATACACCACAATTGAAATTTTTTAAAAGGCTGTCCTCTCATCTAACATTTTTATTTTGCAATTCAATGTATTTTGAATTATATAATATGAAAAGTTCGATAAGAAATTGATTCTCTTATATGAGGAGTTAGTCTTTTATTTAACCGTTACTATTTTATAATCTAATATAGTTTAAATTATAAAACAAAAAACTTATAACCAAATGTGTATTATTATTATTATCTAACCATAAAAATATGAGATTTCCTCGGACAATAACATGCTCTTATCGGGGTTCAATGAGGAGGAAATCACAAGGGCTTTGTCCCAATCATGACAAAAAATTTTAAATTTCTATGTAGAAAAAATATTTTTTTTGAATTTCTAAGTAAAAATTGAATTTAAGAAGGATGGTCATAAGAAAAATAAAAAGATGATTTGTTTTTGAATAGTTAGTGAGCACGTGGGCTTTCCATCAACGGAACAACAAGAAGGAATTTCAAAAAATAAGTTTGAGTCAATTGAGATAAAAAAAAAAGTTGACAGACCAAAATGGACCAAACCAAGAAATTGAGGTACAAAATCGCCCATCAAACTAAATTAAAAAAACAATCTAAGGAAGCATTTATGGCCTGTTTACTCTAAATAAGCAAGTATAGAAGCACGAGATCGCTATGTAGTTATGTTTGTCGAACTCTACAGTTCGATTCTATCCAAAAAAAAAACCCTACAGTTCAAGGTAGATAAATATAAAAACTTAAGGTGGATTTTAGGGTAAATACCCTAATGTTTAAGTGAATAATATTACATCCAGTAACCTAGGATAATCATAACAAAGTTAGAGTTCAAAAAATACCTCTGTGGTTTGGCCTTTGAGGGTATTTACGAGCTAAGAGATGACTCAAATAAGATCCACGTAGTATAATTTGTGCAATAGAAGACGGTGCATTCAGAGTGACTTGTGCAACATGACGAATGTCTATGGTTAATGGCTGAAGTGTTGAGCTCGGCCTAACTTGTGATGGACTCAGACCATGTCATGCAATTCGTATCATTAACAATTTATCAGGGTTGTTTGGATATATCCTCACAACTGGATGTTAGATTTTGGAGTTGTAGACCATCAGGCCAGGTCGATTTGTAAGAAAAAGAAATGCAAAAATATTTACAAAATTAGTTATATATTCTTAATAATAATAAATTAATATGTAAAAAAATTCATTAAAAAGTAATTAAATAATTTTACAGTTCTCAAATGAATGTTTCAAGTGAAAAAAAACTTAAAACTCTAAATTA